AAGCATGCTCTACTACCGAGCTTGTGTTATTATTCTTGAAATTTATGATATATGTTCCTAAGATGCCCCGATGGGTTGAATCTATGCCTTCCCTAATCTGTGTGAACTCGAAAGTTATGCGGATTATGCTCTACTGGCTTTTTGTCAGATAAAATTTTCAATACTACAACTTCATCAAGAGCGAGAAGTATAATGAAAGGTTATGCATTGTAGAAGTGGGAGTCGACCCTGAACCTTGTGTTCATGCCCACGGACACGGTGTGGGACTTATCATGAAAGCTTCTTGCAAGGATATTTAATCATTTGAATAATTCTTCTGGTATCGTGAATTGGATCCCTTATAGTTATGGTCCCGACCATATTTCCTCCTTGATCCCATTTACTGGGTAAGTTACTATTACTTATCCTCTGCAAATCATTCCCCCGCCCAACCTCTACTCCGATTTACCTTCTGGGATTACACCTAGTACTTGATACTGGGAAGCTTTATACCCCACCGCATCATTCCTAGCCTGAACGGCTATATTTTTATCATGTCAACTTTTTAACTGTGCTACCTGGTCCTTATGCCCGGAGCAACTTCCGACGATGAGCTAAACTTACGTCGATCTTCCTCATCTTATCATTCGCCTTGAACAGCAAGCTTAATTTCGAGTTTGTGTCGTACTCATGGTTTCAATAACCTTTTGCTTCATCATTCCTTTGACTGGATGTCATCGCCGATCAATTACATCTTCATGGAATCTCTCGACAAATGTGTCATGATCATCATCAACATTCTGAGCTTTTTCAGGATATCAAACAAATTAATGAGGGGAAATACAATCCTTCCCCTCAATGATTTATGTTATCATCGACAACATTCTTGCCTTCCCCAACACAAACTTGTTCATATAATTTTGGAAATACATCCTTTTTGGCCTACTAGATTGGTTGTTCTTGCCATGGGAGAAGTGCTTAGCTTTGGGTTCGATCTTGTGGTATCCTTTCCCAGTGACAGAAGGGGCAGCAAGGCACGTATTGTATCGTTGCCATCGAGGATAACAAGATGGGGTTTTTATCATATTGCATGAAACTAACTCTCTACATCATGTAATCTTGCTTAAGGCGTTACTCTATTTTTAACTTAATACTCTAGATGCATGCTGGATAGCGGTCGATGAGTGGAGTAATAGTAGTAGATGCAGGCAGGAGTCGGTCTACTTGTCTCGGACGTGATGCCTATATACATGATCATACCTAGATATTCTCATAACTATGCTCAATTCTGTCAATTGCTCAACAGTAATTTGTTCACCCACCGTAAAATACTTATGCTCTTGAGAGAAGCCACTAGTGAAACCTATGGCCCCCGGGTCTCTTTCTCATCATATCAATCTCCATCACTTTATTATTGCTTTGCTTTTACTTTGCTTTTACTTTTTACTTTGCATCTCTATACCAAAAATACCAAAAATATTATTTATCATCTCTATCAAATCTCACTTTCATAAGTGACCGTGAAGGGATTGACAACCCCTAAGCGCGTTGGTTGCGTTGAGCTATTGTTTTTGTGTAGGTACGAGGGACTCGCGCGTAGCCTCCTACTGGATTGATACCTTTGTTCTCAAAAACTGAGGGAAATACTTACACTACTTTGCTGCATCATCCTCTCCTCTTCAGGGAAATCCAACGCAGTGCTCAAGAGGTAGCAGTGTCCATGTACCAATCACCACCTCCAATGTAGTTGTTCGACGTAGGAGCGGCATCCAGCCCAGTGAGGAGCACCGGGTCCCAGGGCGCCGGCGGCACGGCCGGCGAGGGGGGCGGAGACGCCATAGGGAAGCCGGAGCCGCCGCTCAACGGCGGCGATGGGTATGCTCCATACAGCCCCGACTGCAACTACGGTGCCGGATAGGCCGGATGGCTTACCGAAAAAACTATGGGCCCACTGACAGATGCTACAGGTGTTGGGCGCCGTTTGGCTGCTGCCCAGCAGGCGAGTGCTGGCCAGCTGACGACCCCCACCAGTATCCAGGAGACTCGTACGCGAGCAGAGCCCCATACGCAGGCAGAGACCCATACGTGGATGCGGGCGGAGTCACGTATGTAGGATTTCCGTACGTGGGAACGGGCGCGTCGTAGGTGGCGACCGCCCCGTATGGCGGCGGGGCCGCACCATAGGGCGTCGGCGGCGGGACGGCAGAGGCGGCAGCGGACGGGCCTGGTGACACCATTGCTGGTCCGACGGCGGCGATCGGCGCAATTGGGCGGCAGCAGACGATACGCGCGGCAACAGCAGCGGCTTGGCAAAGGCTAATGGCGGGACGAGCGAAGCAGCGGGCGGGCGGGACTAGCGGGTACAGAGCTGCGGCGCAGCTCGAAGCAACATGCAGTGGCAGCACTAACGGTCCAACAGAGCCACGGTGCAGGTCGGAACAACACGCAGCAGCAGCACTAGCTATGCACTAGAGTCCTGAGGCGGCAGGCGATGCGTGTGACAGCGGTTTTGGTGCGTGAGGCGGCAGGCGATGCGCGTGCCGTGATAGCAGTACTAGCGGTTCCAACGGTGGTCGCGAGAGGGAGCGATGGAATCGAAAGGCGGTCGCGATCGCTAGCGAGGCTGCGAGAGGATGAGGCGAGGCGCGCGGCAGGAGATGCGGGCGGGTAGCAGCAGGCGGGCGGGCTAGCGGCGGCTGACGGGATTAGCGACGGCTAGAGGAGCGCACACGCGAGAGGGTAGCAGCGGCCAACGCGGTTGACGCGCAGGCGGCAGCAGCGGATGGGAGGCGGCGGCGCGGAGGCGTGCGACGGAAGGCTAGGGTTTAGAACCTAAAAACTGATATCATGTAAAATATGTGAATTGCATGATGTATTGCTCTTCGTGCATAGGCACGTATATATAATGTATAAAGGTGGACGACAGACCTCAACTATATAAAAAACTAGGAGGCGGGCCCAAAACACAATATGCACATAACACATATACTCAACACTAAGCACTAACATCGCATAGCTAATGACGAGTTAAAAGATTAACTAATTACCACCCTGCATGCATAAAAAGATCAATGTACTGCAAAGCTCATACCTTAATCTTCAACTTTGTAGTTCACTTTGCTAGGCAAATCGTACTCCTGAAGCTCTAAATGACTCCAAAACGTGATAAAATAATGCCTAACAAAACAGAGAACACATACTTATGAACTAAACAAAAAGAGTAAAAACATCATGCATGCATGCAAACAAAACCAACAAAAATGAATAGATCTTACCTTTATCTATCTTTTCTTCATCTTCAACATATTCAAAATCTAACTCTAAATCACCCTAAAAATGCCTAGTGAGTTTTTCTTTCTATCTGTTCTTACACACTCAGAGGGTAGAAGAGGAGGCCAGTGTGCTTGCGCACGGACCAAAAGCACAACAGGTTCCTTGTAGTGTCGGCACAACATGTTCCCGCAGCCTCGGATTCCCGCACTCGTCGGCACAACAGATTCCCGCAGCCTTGGATTCCCGCACTCCTCGGCACAACAGGTTCCCGCAGCCTCGGATTCCCGCAACGAGTGAGTGATCCCCGCAGTGCCATTGCATCCGTTGAAGCAATAGCCAGAGTGATTCCCGCAGTGTCGTCGCATCCGCTGAGGCAAAAAAGCAAAAAACCGGAGTGATTCCCAAGTAGCAGCAGGGCATCAGCGTTGTCATTCATTAGATTCCCGCCCGTGAAATCCGTCGTCCTCCGCGCGTGAGAATCAGCCCACTCTGCAACAGCCCGCCCGTGAAATTCATCGTCCTCCGCATGCGTGCGAATCAGCGCAGTCTGTTGGGCCGCATGCAGCAGAAACAGTGCAGCCGCCTACTGCGGTGGTGGCATGGCCTATCGTCTCGTCGCACGTGCAGTTGTACATGTTGGCCTGGGCGCGGCAGCGGCACCAGAGGCCGCCTCACCCGATGGCAACATGGCCCACCTCGCCTGGCCCGTTCCGTCCTGGCTCCACGTACTGTACATAACACGTTACACCAGCACGGCCACCTCCTGCCATGGCGGCAGGACCCGCCGCCTCCAGGCGTGGCTGCAGGTGCCACGTGTCACGCCTGCCGCCACTAATGAGGGGGTCCTTTTTGTCAATGTTTTCGACGAGTGGTCCTTTTTGGCAATTCTGTCCCCAGGGGGTCCTTTTGGACACTTACAGCTTTGTACCAAGTTCTGATGGCGTGGTTGGCGTCCGATCTGCATCCCGTGGTCTCCAGCTCTCCTTATCGCTTCGCGTGGCGAGCTTCAACCTGTGTCACAGGCCGTCCATCCAACTGCCGCCGTCTACCTAGCTGACGCTATTTACTTTCCAGCAAAAGACCTTACTGTTATCTCAAAAAAAAAGACCTTACTGTTCATTTGCTTTATCGCCTTTTCTTCATTTGCTTGGGTTGTAAGTCTATAAAAGCCACCATTCTGGATCTGAGTAGGTAGCTTATCTTGTATTGGGTGTAATCCTAGCCATCGTTGTTCCAGCTAGCCTATAAGAGTATCCGAAATCGCACTGAGTTCATCGATTTGATCCACCCAAATTCGCTACTTTTCCATTTCCTTCTGAAATGTTTGGTCAGTTCATAGCCTGAACTAACAGGGTCTAAAATGGACTTCTTGCTAATAAACCACCTGTCATTTAGGAAGTGTAGTGCTGCTATGAAGCATAGAGGCTCACAAACATATTGTAACTTGAAATTTATGTAACAGGTTAGCTGTTATTTTCCATAGTTCATTTTCACTTAAGGTGATACTGAAGAGGTGCATGGCAGGCAGCACTATTAATGACAGTGTAATGTTGTGGGTTAATCAATGAACCACTTATTTGTGGTAATATTCATGGTGAAATCATTGAGCCACTTATCTGTTGTGATGATTTTATTTGTACTTACTACTACATCCCACAATGTAAGACGTTTTTTGCAAGCTATCATAGCTTGCAAAAACGTCTTACATTATGGGCCGGAGGTAGTACTTGAGAATATCCCCATACAAATTAGATTGATAGGCTGCCAAACTGCATGTTCCATTCTTCATAAATCCCCAATTCGCTTGTGGAAACAGAAGGTCTGACCTCCTGCAGAGCAGCCTCAAAGTCCTGTCATCCAAATAAGCGTTCAGAATTAGAACATTACCATCTAGGGGAATGATTCATAACACAGAAGCTTGTCAGAAATAAACATTTCATATTGATCGCTAGGGGAAAATAGTACTCTCTCCGTCCCATAATATAAGTTGTTATTACAACTGATATACCTTATATTATAGGTCCGAGGGAGTACGTTTTTAGTGGTCAGAAGGCCATCACTGTCTGAACTCAAATACGATATGACTAGTACCTTGAGCATCACCGGACGCACTTCCTCCTTGTTGAGCTTTGTGATTTCAACACCCTGTTGGAGAGCTTCTCTCAGTGGCCCCATTGAGGCATCTTTCACAAGATTTTTCATATCAGATCCCGAGTAACCTGGAAATAACAGAGAACATTGTTTAAATCTTACAACAGGAAAATTCAGTAAAATGGCATAATGATCTAGGTTTAGAAACATGATGAAAGCTGAATGATTCTGTGCACCTTCTGTTAACTTGCAGATGACACCTGTTTCTTTCTCTGAGAGCTTGAAAAGGCCATCCTTTTCCAATAGATTGCGAATTATCCAAGTACGTGCTTCTTCACAACCATGAAATAGTCAGTTTTCTACGGCTATTCCATAGAACAGAAATAGAGCATTACCTGATGAAGGAAGGGGGATGTATAGACGCTTTGTCAGTCGCCTGCGTGCTGCTTCATCTAATTCTTGAGGTCTGTTTGTTGCTCCTGCCATCATTTTTACTCCACGATATTAGTATATGCTACAACACATAGTGATTGATGTTCCAAGTTCAAATTGTTGATCCCAAACTAAAAAATACATGGAGCAAAAAGCGGATCTGCAACGAAGACAGGTCTAACAAGTAATGATCGTCATAAGTCCCAACCCATGGAGGAGCTTAAGCCTGTTTATTAGGGGTGTGTTGGTAAGCTCTGCTATTGTCGTTCATCACAATATGATATTCAACATCACTCCACGGGCTATGTGGTAGAACTTCAAAACATAGCTCTAAGCAAATGTGCATATGCAAATTTGCGGAGAGGAAAAATGCAGACTTTGTTGATGCTTCAATCCCATAAGGCAAATCCTAGAATGACACTTGTAATATCATATAAGAAAGTACACCTTTCCATGCATGAGGTACCTATAAGTAAAATTTGCTCGTTTCCACTGTCAAAACCTTCCATCTCAATTAGAAACTGTGTTTTTAACCTCCTACTTGATTCATGTTCACCATCTGATTTGCGCTGCAATCATGCTTAAGGCTGTCAAGTGTCAAAACATGCAATGGATATGGGCACAACAAAAACAACACATAGAACAAAACCTGAGATAGTAGTGAATCAATCTCATCCACAAATATGACAGCAGGCTGACGACAACAGGCTACACCAAATAGTGCCCGGACTAGCTTTTCGCCCTCGCCAATCTTGCACCAGCAAAAGAATTAACAAATCAATATCAACATAGAAGACAAATTAACAATCAATATCAACAACAAAGCCTTTAGTCCCAAACAAGTTGGGGTAGGCTAGAGCTGAAATCCATAAGATCTCGAAACCAACTCATGGTTGCATGTGGATAGCTACCTTCCACGCCCCTCTGTCCCTGGGTAGTTCTTTGGTGATATTCCCGTCTTTCAGATCTCTCTTCACGGACTCCTCCCATGTCAAGTTTGGTCTACCCCGACCTCTCTTGACATTATCAGCACACTTTAACTGTCCGCTATGCACTAGAGCTTCTGAAGGCATGTGTTGTATATGCCCAAACCATCACAGACGATGTTGGACGTTGGACAAACTTCTCTTCAATTGGTGCTACCCCGCTCTATCATGTATATCATCATTCCGGACTCGATCCTTTCTTGTGTGGCCACACATCCATCTCAATATGCGCCTCTCCGCTATACCCAACTATTGAACATGTCGCTTTTTAGTCGGTCAACACTCAGTGCCATACAACATTGCGGGTCGGATTGCCATCCTATAGAACCTTCTTTTTACCTTTTGTGGCACTCTTGTCACAGAGAACGCCAGAAGCTTGGCACCACTTCATTCATTCGGCTTTCATTTGATGGCTCACATCTTCATCGATATCACCATCATTTTGCAACATTGACCCCAAATATCAAAGGGTGTCCTTCTGAGGTACCACTTGTCCATCAAGGCTAACCTCCTCCTCGTGCCTAGTAGCACTGAAACCGCACCTCATGTACTCGGTTTTAGCTCTACTAGGCCTAAAACCTTTCGATTCCAGAGTTTGTCTTCATAGATCTAACTTGCTATTAACCCCCGTCCGACTAGCACCACATCATCTGCAAAGAGCATACACCATGGGTATCTTCTTGTAATATCCCTTGTGACATCATCCATCACAAAAGCACAAAAGATAAGGGCTTGAAGCTTACCCTTGGTGCAGTCCTATTTAATCAGAAAGTCATCAGTTTCGCCATCACTTGTTCAAACACTTGTCACAACATTAACGTACATGTCGTACTTTGTTGGGACTTTGTATTTCTCCAAGACCCACCACATGAAATTCCACGGTATCTTATCGTAGGCCTTCTCCAAGTCAATGAACACCATATGCAGATCCTTCTTTTGCTTCTTGTATATCTCCATAAGTTGTCATACCAAGACAATGGCTTTCATGGTTCACATGAAACCAAACTGTTTTTTGGTCACGCTCGTCATTCTACTTAAGCGGTTCTCAATGACTCTCTCCCATAGCTTCATTGTATGGCTCATCAGCTTAATTCCATGATATTAGTACACAACTTTGAACATCCCCTTTGTTCTTGAAGATTGGTACTGATATACTCCGCCTTGATTCTTCTGGCAACTTGTTTGCCTGAAATATGAGGTTGAAAAGCTTAGTTAGCCATGTTATCGTTGTCTCTGAGGCCTCTCCACGCCTCAATGGGGATACAGTTATGGCCCATCGCCTTGCCTCCTTCCATCCTTTTTAAAGCCTCTCTGACCACAGACTCCTGGATTCTTGCACAAAACGCATGTTGGTATCTTCAAAGGAATCATCCAGCTCAATGGTAAAGCTCTCGTTCTCTCCATTGAATAGCTTGTCTAAGTACTCCTGCCATGTATGCTTGATTTTCTCGTCCTTCACCAGGAGCTGATCTGCTCCGTCCTTGATGCATTTAACTTGGTTGACATCCCTCGTCTTCCTCTCTTGGATCTTGGTCATCTTATAGATGTCCCTTTCGCCTTCCTTCATGTCTAAGCGCCGGTAGAGGTCCTCGTACGCCCAAGCCCTTGCTTCACTCACAGCTTGCTTTGCGGCCTTCTTTGCCACCTCGTACTTCTCTATGTTGTCCGATCCAGGTGTAGGCGTCTGAAAGTCTTTCTTCTCCTTAATAGCCTTCTAGACATCATCGTTCCACCACCAGGTATCTTTAGCCTCACTTCTACTTCCCCCAGTCACCCCCAAACTCCTCTGAAGGCACCTTACGAATGCAAGTCGCCATCTTCATCCACATATTGTTTGCATCACCTCCTCCTCCCAAAGGCCCTCCTTAATAACCCTCTCCTTGAAAGCCTGAGCTGCCTCCACCTTGAGCAACTTTGGCCCGCCTATCCCGCCAGGCACGAATTTGAAAGCAGAAGTCAGCCACCACAAGCTTATGTTGAGGGACAACACTCTCTCCAGGTATCACCTTAAAATCTAGGCAAGCACGCTTGTCTTCTCTTCTCGAGAGAACGAAATCAATCTGGCTAGAGTGTTGACCACTAGCAAAAGTCACTAGATGGCATTCTCTCTTTTTAAAGAGGGTGTTAGCTACAGTCATGCCATAAGCTAGAGTAAAGCTTAAGACATCTTCTCCTTCTTGATTCCTGATGCCATAGCCAAAGCCCTCATGCACCGCTTCAAAACCTGTGTTAGATGCACCCGTGTGGCCATTGAGGTCTCCTCCTATGAAGAGCTTCTCGCCACTCCCTCTTGTGCTCTCACTGTGGCCTATGTGCATTGATAACATTGATAACTAAATCCTCAGCTACCAGCTTGACCAAGTACTCCGGTTCCCTAGCCTCTTCTTGCCTCTTGATGTCTACCACTCCATACTTGAGGCTGTTGATCAAGATGCCTGCTCCATTTCTGTTTGTAGTTGTCCCCGAGTACCACAGCTTGAAGCTGGTATCCTCCACCACCTTCGCCTTCTGTCCCCTCCATACAAGACTAGGACAATCAGCATGCTGATTTTGACTGTGAAGTAAGCATGTTCAAACTCCCCAAAATAGGCAGCCACATACAGGCAGAAATAGAATCTCTATCCAGATTTTTTAACGCAAAAAATCTTCCACTTCTTCTATGACCATAGAATAAAGTGTTTTAGACATGATACAGATATCCGAGGATATACCTTTGACAGAAAAATAATACACTTTATGTTCTCATGACTAATACAGCTTAAAGCTACAATAGACACCAATATTCCATGTATTTCTTGGCTAGTCCAGCAGTTATACAGTTACAGGAATCTCAGCAAGACAGACCCTTTTATTATTTACTGGGTTTAAGAATTAGAAATTTTACCAAGTTTTATCCTACAAGGTATTTATAAATGATTTATGTCAAGTCTAAATAATTCGTATACAAAACACTGATCACATTAAACTGCCCAAATAAGTCACTTTCCATTTTGTAAGTGTTTTTATCATTTAACCTACAATGAAAGATGAAATATACAGGAAAAGCATTATCAGAATTAAGCTAATCTAGATCTATTAGGAATCAAATTAATATATAGAATTGGTAACAATATGCTCCATAGAGCTGGAAAGTGCCAAGGCCTCTCAAGAACCTGTGCAAAACTGTTTAGTTGAGCAATGCATTGCAGGAGTGGTACATGTACCACTCGCATGCATAATGCAGTCAGTCAATGCGGCGTAAACATGGGAATGAACTAACAATACCAAAAGAATAATTTTTGGAACACATATGTTTGCCCATTTTCATTCTAAATAAATTTGATCTCGAGTTGTCAACTATCAATACTTTTGAGGAACACAGAAAACTGCATCCTGCCACAAGATTATTTGTGTAGGAAGTTAGGAGCAGGTTGTCAAAAGAATACAGGACAGATACGCTTAGAAACATGTTTACACACCCTACTGTATACTGCTTCAAGTTCTTTGTTATTAAGCTTGGAAGCATGGACAATGACAAACTTATTATCACATATCACAAACATCAGTTAGCAGATAGAAAAATCAATTCAGTTGTAACACCTCATTAGTATGTCAAAGATATTAACATAGCATAACAGAAAACGACTGCAAAATGGGAGAAATGTGTCAGTATTGAAAAATCAAAACAAGTGCCAGACATACCCATTTGCTCGTGAGTGAACTTGCAGATATGTAGAAAAATGTTGCCTTAGCCTCACCAGCAATTGCTTTTCCAATCATGGTTTTGCCTGTTCCCTGTGGGAATAAGTGTGCATGCATTAAGATTAAGAAAGAAGGGTAGGCACAACACAGTCAGATGAGATAAGTACCCACAGGAGGTCCAAATAGTAGTAGTCCTCTTCCAGGTGACCGACAACCACGAAAGATGTCTGGACGCAGTAGGGGCCAAATAACCATCTCTGTCACACACTTCTTTGCATGATCCAAACCAGCTATTGCAAGTTGGCATGAATTAGTTACACAAAATACATTAAAAAAATCTGAAGAACTAGGAAGATATGTACCTACCTATGTCATCCCAGCGAACATTAGGGTCTTTATCCATTATTTCGTTACTAACATGCTCAATAAGGCGAGGTTCCAAATTCCTCAACTTCTCAGGAAGCTCACCATCAGGGCCACAAAGCATTTCTAAGCTGATGGTGGTGATTTTTATTAGTAAGATATGATAGCAAGCACCACCAATATATTTAACATACACATATATTTTTAAGGCTACTCATGCATGCAAAAGCCAGATTGGATACCATATAAATTGATCCAAAATACAGTTAATGGCAAGAAACTGTAATAGTTATTTGCATGCTCATGATTTGAACGGCTTTTACTAATGTACATTTAGTTAAGTGATCAAATTTAAGTTCATGTATTAGTTTAACATTAGACAAACCAGTAATTACATTTATTGATACTTAAGTCAATTAACATTTGAGGTGAATGATAGCAATGCGCAATTCAAGGGGGTCTTTGCCAGGAAAGGGAGGGGTAACACTTTTTTCCCTAACATAGAAATGGTTGATATTTGAAGACAGAGACTATCTCCACAAAATGCTGCTTTTTACCATCACTAAGCAAGAAACCAGACGCTAAAATGACAAACAAACTCGCTAGATATTCAGCACTCCATATTGGTTCAAATGCTATCAGACAATTAAGTTTGAATTACATACCATTTTTTTATTGAATCTTCCATGGAATCATCATTTTTTCCAGCAACTCCTCGTGAGTTGATTGCGTTGCAAGCAGATCCACCATTGTTTCGGATAGGGGGGACAAAATTACCACGTGGTCCACGACGAGAATTCCAGCTTGGCCTCACACCATAATTCTGTGTACTAAGGTTGTTATCACATTGCGGAGATACAGAAGCACCTTGGTGGCCATTATGCCCATGCTTTTGCACAGTGTCCATCGCCTACAAAGCAAAAGCCAAAAGGCACCCACCGAACAAGGTTACAGCAAGTACAGATATATTGAACTTTAACCGAAGTGGATATAAGCCTAATCAACCCTTGTAATTTAGGGATTTAATGGAATAAAAGTGTCTTCTGCTAAAAGGATAGTGATGCCATCTGACATTATTGTTGGTGTGGGCCATGCAGCAAGAGCATCGTGCATCACAACAAAGAAAATGAATAAAACAAAGAAACTATCTCATATTCTATGCAATGTGCAAAAAACAACAAAAGTCATGACATGAAAAATTGTGAAGACAGAAGTCACTCATTACATATGAGTTAAGCTTGAATGGTAAAGACCGGTAGCAACCTATTATAAACCATAGGTGATTATGGCATGTCCACTTTTCTTGGAGGAACATAAAAGAATTCCTGTAAAAGAGCGTTCTCTAAAATGCTTATCAAGCAGGGAATGAAAATTTTGAACCAGTATTGGCAGCACGGCTAAGTGCATAATTTGACAAGTGCACGTACCAACTTTATCCTAGCAGTCACAAACCCATTGGCAGGAGCATCAGCTTCATCTTGGTTTAATAGAGAATCCGCATGTTCACATATAGGACTTCTGAACCCTGTATGCTTTCGTTTTGAAGTCTGCAATGGCCCACAATGTTTCTTATCCTCTTCAACCCCCAGATAAGCAGGACGTGTGTTATCATTTTTATTTGTTCTGATCTCATTCTCAACACAAGCAAACTCTTTAGACATGTTCCCCTCTGATTTGAACATATTCTTGTCTGACACACTATTTGCCTTCAAGAACTTGTTACCGTACAATGATGTTATTTTTGATTGTGCCATCAATTTTGAAGCCCCAATGCTAAGCTTCTCATTGTCTATGCCAGCTGGGCTTTCCTCAATATGTGGACCCCCTTGAATCGTGAACTTCTCGCAAGCTGAGTTCTTTTGAATTAAATACATGCCAAGGAGAGAAAAATGGCAACAAAAATTAGCAGGCAAACACCATTATTTGTGAATAATCAAGATGTGTGTGTGTGTGGGCATGCGTACGTGTGGGTGTGTCTTTTGACCTTAAGAAAAATTAGAAATGGAAGGAAATTAAGCAAAAGGGTCACCGACTGGATGCGCCCCAGAGAAAAGTAGAAACGAGATAGAGAAGGGAAAGGAGTTTGAGTGATGAAGATGCGCTTTAAGAATAATATAAACTAGATCATACCTGTTGATCAGCAACATTTCCTTTGGATTTCTCATGAAAAGCCTGAAAATACTTTGAACACTTCATCTTTTCATTGCTAACGTCGCCTTGCTTTGGAAAAACACAACCAGCATTCTTTTTTGCGAGCTCAAACGCTGCACTGAGCTCAAAACACATCCAAAGTGAGGATTGATACCAAACTAAGATATGCCCAAGATAGCATGCTTATAAAGTATAAACTTGAACATTCCCGCAGATAACATGACGTCAATACTAAATTGGTTAGATGTGTGACTTATATGTTCACAATAAATCCAAGAAATTTCTTAATAATATAAAGTGATGATAAAATGTTATATCTTCATCAGCACAGAAGAAAAAAGATCTCTCAATTTCAGAACTCTCACTGATTATATTTCCTAATTCCTATCCTATATCCATTGAAATGATGTCGCATAGACCATTACAGATATCTGAAGTTAAAACCCAGAAGAAATTGTACCACAACGGGATTCTGCCCCTTCATCCTTGGTGGCTTCATGAGTCTATGCCGGTGATTCCTCCTCGTATTCTTCCCTCTTTTCCTCACTATTACACTCTTCGTCCGTGTGTTGTGGATGAGCCTACTGCCCAGCCATCCAATTCTAATGTCCCATATTCCTCATCTCAGCCTACCTATGGCTTGCGTCATCGCCCGCTTCTGCCAGTTGACCGCTATGGTTTTTCTAGCGCTGGGACGCTTTTCTTGAGTTGACTTCTTATCGTGATGTTGTTGTTCATCCCGAATGGCAGAGGAGATTGCTGCTCTTGAGCACACTGCCACGTGGGATCTTGTTTCTCTTCCTCCCCAGGTTTGTCCCATCACTTGTAAGTGGATCCACAAGGTTAAGACTCACTCTGATAGTTCTCTTGAGCTACAAAGCTCGTCCTGTGGCTCGTGGCTTCAGCAGGAGCATGGCCGCGATTACGATGAGACTTCTGCTCATGTGGCCCATATGACCACTGTTCGCACACTTGTTGCGGCCTCTGAAGCACCGATACGTTCAAATGTGCCGTATCGGCATGCAGGACGTCACCGATACGGCGATACACATGATACGGGTATCCCTGGCTTATCATGATTTTCGATCTAAAACAAAAAAAAAAATGCCGGGACGGCGCCGAAGCCTAGTACAGGCCCACTCCAGCACTCACAAAGTCGTAACCCTAAACAACTAGCGCTCTCTCTTGCCATTTGTTGTGCAGCAGATTGGATCAAGGATTCAGCGGCGAACGCAGAGTTCGTCGCCGCGCTGCCGCCACCGCCTCCGCTGCCTGGATCCACTCGCCCCCATCTGGACTCGCCTCGCCATCCCGTGGACTCCTCTTGTCTCCGCAGCCGTCGCCAGCAAGGTATTGCCCCCCCCCC